ATTAACATAAAGGAATAGTTCCAGATAACCTAATTTATTACAGAATGTTAATCTTAATGTTACATGTCCATGGTAAGGCAGTTAGTGCATCTTTAGCAGAATATCTTCTAAACTAAGATTTGTCAAATTTGCCAATTATTAAACTTATCAGCTTTCTCAATCATTATATTCAGCAAGAGACAATAGAACAAAAAGAACACAAAACTAATTATCAACATTAGCATTTAATAAGATTATGATATGTCCTAAGTGATGCAACTGTTTCCATGTGATGTGTATATAAATACACTGGATGCATATTCCCAACCCAAATTATTAATCTTTACCTACATTCTAGGTTCAAGTGAACTATTCCTTTAGTAAAATTAAAAAGTTAAAAACTATTCATATTTGTTTTAATAAACTACATAAAGTATCAAATAACTGAATCAACTTAATCTGTACCTAGCTTTATTATGTAACAAGAGCAAGTTTGACCATTTACCTCTGTTTTGGGACCAATAACTAAATAACTCTGTAATGTTGCTTTGATTAAAAGTTTTCAGGTTTTCTTAACATGTTATATATATTTCTTCCAATGTTGACTGAAAATATAAAAAATACTTCTTTGAAAATACAGCACAAACTATTCATACTTCTGTCTATACAAATGATTGCATATGCTAACTTAACCAATTCAGATGAAAGATGATTCTTCTTAAGTTACCTTCATTTGATAATGTTAAATGCATTTGGAAAAAAAATAACAGAATAGAATAGTACCTTATTTATTACTGTTAATGCAGTTGAAATGTTGTGGTAATACATGTGAACTTGGCCATTTATGTTCTCAGATTATTGTAAACAGTTGTACCAGTACTCAGCTATCTATGTATTCTGCTCTCTTTCTCCAAAAACTATTTTCATTCCTACCCACCATTACCCACCCCCACCCAACAGAGGTAAATGGTCTTCCCTACCCATCTTTTTTCCTTTAAAATACTATATCTGAACTGTTTCTGAAAATAGAAAGTAAATTACAATAACTGAATGTTAACAGCTTCATGATAACTATAATATGTAGGTACAATAGTAATTTTAACACGTTTTAAATTAATACCTGAACTCATATAAACATGATCTAATATTGTATTGCCTTCTGTTGTACTCTCTGTCACACACTGTTTAAACCCAAAGTCTTGAAAACAATCCTTAATAGAACTATGTCCTTCTAATAGATTTTGATTGAAATCTCCCATAATAATATAATGATAACCTGACTTTTGTAACTCAGTCAACAATCTTTCTAATTGAGGCATGAACAATTCTAATCTATATCTTGGTGGTCTATAAATTACAATTACAGAAACATTTTTATCTGGAATATTACAAGCAACATGTTCTATATTTAATTGTCCTAATCTTATTATATTACAAGCTTTATTTTTACTATAATATATTCCTACACCACCATGGTCTTTTTCTTTAAGATTTTAAAATTAGCACTATCATCATAGCTATCGTGACGCGCTTGATTATAAAATATAAAATTATCCAATCGTACTTTAGCAGGGTTCCTTACATTTCTTAACCAAGTCTCTGTCAAACATATCATATCAGAGTTCATAAATCTTTTGTCATGTTTTAAATCTTCTAAATGTGTAGTAAGTCCTTGAACATTAAATAAGATAATATTATAACAATTAGGTTTAGGTTGTTCTTCAGGTTGTAAAAATCTTGGCATTTCATTTAAAGCAGATTCAATCTTTTCATCACAAAATATAGCTTTCTCATTAAAATCTTGTATAATCAATCCTTCTAATGTTTTAACTCGACTTAATGCAACATATGCTTGACCTGTTTGAAAAATTCTATCTAAAGAAACGACACCTCTATCTAAACTCAAACCTTGTACTTTATGAATAGTTACTGCATAAGCTAGTCGTAATGGAAATTGACGACGAACATCACCTTTATAATTAATATGTGTACTTTCATATCTTTCAATAGGAATACTACCTGGTTCAACATTAGGTGGAAGACGATATGTCTGCTTACTCAAACCAACTTTAGCATTGTTAAATTTAACATATATCTTTCTAGGTTTATCATTTTGATCATTTTCAATAAATGTCACAGTACCAAAACTTCCATTAATCAAACCAGCTGAAACATCTAAATTAACAACTAACATTACATTTGATCCAATACCAACTGTTAAATTATCTACTAGTGGTGTATCTGTTGCTTTAACACAAGAATCTTTTAATATCATTCTACCTGATCTAGCATCTTTACTATAGTCTAAAGCTTGAATAGAAATAGAATTGGGACATTTTTCATTGATCATTCTTGTATTGTAATTATCTACTTGTTGATTTGTGGAAAATATATGTAAGCTGTCATCTTCTAAATTTGTAACTCTACTTTGTAACATTTCAATATCTGAAGCCAACATTTCTTCACTTTTCTTTCTTTTTCTAATTCTATTTAAAAGTTGAGCGAAAGCTAAATCATCTTTCTGTCTCATGATTTCTGTCAACTCAATCAGTTTAAAATTTCCATTCCAAATATCTATTACACTATCATGACATAAACTAGAAGCTTTAACTGGTTTTAATTGCCACATGTCACCAAAACAAATTACACAGATATTACCAAATAACTCATTACTACTAGTACCTTTAATTTGACATAATCTACCATGAATATAACACAGTAACTTGTGGTCTACCATAGAAATTTCATCTATAATCAGAATCTGTAATTTACGATATTTACACCTCAATGTATTGACAGTTTCTTGTCCTAATGGTTGATATGGTAATGTAAACTTGGTTCTTATTGACAAACTAGAATGTATAGTACTTGCACCAATTGCAAAAGCCGAAACACCTGTCGGCCCAGTTAATAACACAGAACAATCATCTAAGTTTTCTGCAATTTTTGCTAAAA